ACAGGGTGACTGATAAGTGTCGAAAATTTCAGGAGGTGTTTCTATTCATCATAAGCAGCACCAAACTTCCTATAAACCCCTGTCCAAATCTCAACGGTAAAGAAATAATTTCAGGTTTTGGGTTTTTTTAATTTTTCGACTTAGGTCCATTAAATTGCTTACAAACTTCAGAATTACTGTCTGTAGGAAAATCTGGTTTGTGCCATCTGAAAGAACGTTAAATTGTCTGTAAGAAAACGTATTTACATTGCAGAATTGATGAAAAAGTTCTGCACGAATAATTCAGAAAAAACAAAAATGTAGAAATTTGGAATTTCTTGAAAAGGTTGGATTGTGACTGTCAATAACTACTACCTGGAGCTTTGCAAATTCCCTCAAAAGTTCCCCATTCCATTAGCTTCCAGCGGTATACCCAACTGTTTAGATCGTGCTTCTGGAAGGCCCAAAAATTTTGCATTTTGTTCAAAAAACTGTATCGATGAAGGGAGGAGACACGTTTAATTTTCCAGAAAATCCGTCTGGCTCCTGAGTTTGGTGTCAGTTCTTTTTAGTTCGATTCAATCAGTTGGCTTTATGTTATCAGCTGACAACTTCCTCAGGTTGGTGATTTAAATTATGTCCTTGTTTCCTAATGCACATCTTGCTGATATGCATTTGATTTACGATTACTGCAACGGTAATCTGCTACCAAGCTCGTTTTTCACATTCAAGCAGATCGCATCTACCAACGACTTCATCAGAGGCTGAGGGAAACTGGTTCTTTCACTCGAAGAACGAGGGAAGATAATCAGCGAATTGATGTAGATAAAGAAATTTTGCATTCTGTTAATCTTGATCGCGAAACCAGTACACATTTGTTATGTATAGACCTTGGTGTTCACAATGGAGAGTTTGGGATACCCTCCGTCGGGAAGGATTGTACCAGCAGCGATTTGAGGTTTTCCTCTTCCTTGCTGGTGATCATTTCGTTCCAAACTTTGCACCCTTCCCCAGGGTATACCAAACAATCCATTGTGAAACGCCAAGGTCTATACATAACGGACGTGTACTGGTTTCGAAATCACGATAAACAGAATGCAAAATTTCAACATCTACATCAATTCGATGATTTGTCTTCCCTCAGCCTCTGATGAAGTCGTTGGAAGGTGCGATCTGCTGGAACGTCTCGACGTGGAAAAACGAACTTGGTATTCTCTCCCTACAGCAGTAGCATCACCGTTGCAGTAATCGTAAATCAAATGTAATATCAGCAAGATGTTCATTAGGAAACAAAGACATATTTTAAATCACCAACCTGAGTTTGTTGATAACGTAAAGCAAACTGATTGAATCGAACTATAAAGAACTGACACCACACTCAAGAGCCAGACGGATTTTCTGGAAACTTAAGCGTGCCCCCCCTTCGTCGACACAAGTTTTTTTAACAAAATGCAAAATTGTTGGGCCTTCCAGAAGCGCAATCCAAAAAGTTGGGTATACGGCACGAAGCTAATGGAATAGGGAACTTTTGAGGGAATTTGCAAAGCTCCAGGAGTTTATAGTTATTAACAAACCAATCCAACATTTTCTAAAAATTCCAAATTTCAACATTATTGTTTTTTGTTGCATATAGTGAGTAGAAACACCTGAAATTTTCGACAGTTATCGCCAGTCACCCTGTGTAGAGAGCATGCAAGATTGTCACCCAACATGAGAATCGTACATGAGCACGGCAACTAGTAGCTGGGTCATTTGTTACGATTTTTGGAGGAAACAGCTCTTTCGTTGTATATAGTAATGATGTATTATTATTGTCTACTATCACTTTTGTTTAACCCATTTGTAATTATGTCAGGTTTGAATGCAAGGCCGCTGGTTTCGAACCAGGGACCTTTACAGTGATGAGGGCCGTGTTAACGCCTTGCCATTGCGTACAAGACGCCCTCGTAGCCTATGTTGAGAGTAATCATAGATGTAAACAATGAGAAAAAGTTCGTCCCCTTTTGGAAATCCCTGGAAAATATATTAATTTTGGGAAGTTTCGTTTTCTTAGACATCGAAGAAGTTTGAACTTCTGATCATTCAAGAAAAACATTTCATCGAACAAAGTTGTGACAATTATTTGTTTTTCTTCGACATCCTCACTCAAACTCAGAATTTCATCCTGTATTTGATCGTAAGAGTTGTAATAATTGTAATCCTCTTCAATCTTGTCCAACCAAACAAAATAGTAGCAAATTGTGAGTATTTAATTTGCTTGCAATATCGTCAACACCTTGCCTGCCATGGTAATATTTCTGCATCCTTTGAACATGCATTTATTTTTGCTAATGACATTTTCACTGTCTATCAGTGCGGTTTATACAACGTAATTGTTAAGTTAATTGAAAGAATTTAATAAGTTGAACTTTTAAGCGTGAAAAGAGAACGAGATATTAATGAAATTATACACAGTTCATTATAAACTAATTACGCTAAACCATAAGTGGTTATAATTCTCTATCGTTATAACATTCGGTAGAAGTACATAAAAGAAAAAAAAATGCAGCTTACTTTGCATATCAAATATTTAAATTAAATTGATCTGTTTATTGTTTTGATTATTACTCCTTAAAATACCTAAAACGCAAAAAAATTGGAATAACATTTAAGATAGAAAGTTCCCATACTGAACTTAAAAATTTTATTAATTAGACTACCTTGAAATTGAACGGCAAAAACCATTTACAAAAATAACGAGATGACACATGTCAAGTCGAGAGGTCGTAGCCTTGACTTTTTTTAGTGCCTTAGGCTCGGACAATACGGAATAGATTCAAATATTAATTACACCGATAATACATAAAACTAAATCCTTGACCAGAGGATCATTAAATATGCGTAGCGGACGGTGTAAATATTAAATTGAAAAGAAAGGAGAGAATTATAAATGGTGAAAAAAGGGTTAAAATAATACAACGGAAATAAGGTTAACTCACCGTTCGGCGATTCCACACAGAGATTCTTCTAGGTTCCAGGGATAGCACTCGCGTGGTTTTTCGGCATAACAGAGGATGAAACGGGTAAACCGGATGATGAAAGAAAGAAACTTGTGAGGAAAACAAAAGGAAAAGTCGGAAAATTACAAGCGAGAAATGGTTCTACCAGCCGGGGCGGCCATGCAGGTTTACCAACTGAAAATAGGTGACCGGGCGGCTTCAATTAATCAAATTCAACAGAGGGCGCGCGTAAATCCTTTGTCTTCAGGAGGGGGCCCTTGAAATTAACAGCGCTGCCGAACAGAAAGAAAACTGCTCACAAATGTCAAAAATGAATAGGGATATTTGTAATTTATTCATATTCTATTAATTTTAATTAAATTAACCGTTATATTCTTGTTAGTTAGATAAAACAACATAGAAAATACAAACCAAAAACAAACAAATGTTAATCCTCATTTTTAATAACGGATTTACTTAAGAATAGTAAATATGAAGGTTACTCATTTTGTAAACAAACATTTCATCTCGTCTTTTCTCCATTTTAATCCAGTTGTATTATACTTAACTATTGACCAGAAGTTCTCAATATTATCGTGAGAATGAGATATCGAGGTCACCGGGAAGTCGATAACTCAGAAGCAGTTGGGGTTTCTCAGAGCGCGGTCACCCGGGCTTTAGGCCGATTCCGAGAGATTGTAAATGCCTATAGGATAGGATTACGATGCTAAGGGAAGACAGAAATATTGTCATTGCTGCAAGACGGAACCCTTCCCATACTGCTCGCCAGATAGTAATGATTATGAAGTACAAGATGTTTTGGCAAGACAACGATTCGCAATCGTTTGTGGGAAGTTGGCCTTATATCGTATTGAGACGACCTGCAGCTACAGCCCGCCACCAGCAACTCAGGAAAATATGGTGCTGTGAGCGCCTAGAAGAGAACACTAATTGTAATGTTGTTATGTTTATTGATGAGTCGCGTTTCTGTCTGTAACGGGCGCCGAAGGTCTACCGAAAAGAGGGGATGCCTAGTTCGTGCTCCCTTCAGTGCAGTTTGGAGGAAGCGTATATTGGTCCACCCCGCAGTCCGTTATGTCTAAGAAATTATCGAGAAATTCATCCCTCAAATCTCGTTGGCAAGGATTTTCGATTTCTGGATGGCAATGCCAGACCTAATAGAGGCAGAGTTGTTCATCAATGTTTAGAAAAACTAGGAATTTCTCATCTGTCCCTTTCCCCATTGTCTCCAGATTTCTATCCCATTGAGCACATATGAGATCAGTTGTTGCACAGGTTTTTCAATCACCAGCCGCTGCCATTGACCTGCAACAACTGAGTGCAGTGTTGCAACATCTATGGAATGAAATTCCTTATGTAAATTAGTGACAAACTTGTTAGCAGTATGCCCTACAGGTGCACAGAGGTTTTAGCTAACAGAGGACATTATATACGGTATTAATTGTTTTAAAAAAAAATATTATGTCCAATAAACAAAATTATGGAATTTATTTTGTTATTTTTCCAAATTCCTTAATTAAATTTTCGTTCAGTAAAAAAGGAAAAAATTAACAATAAAATAAAAAAGTTAGGGAAAGTAAACACTACAAAATTGGAAATATCCCTATTAATTTTTGAGCAGTTTAGTTATTCGAATGAATGTAAAATCTTTTCTCGGTCTTTCCTTATACCAGCTTTCCCACATTGTCAAAAGGTATTCGCATGGTTATTACATTTTACACTTATTCCGTGTTAATTAATTGATTGTTTTAGGTTGGATTTTGCACGCATGTGTATACACGCATAAATACGCATACATGCACGTGTATACATGTGTGGGGCCAGATTCCTAGCGGCAAGCACGTCAATCCACACGCCGAGAGAACAAGGCTTAAGAACAGCAGCGAGGGCGAGCGGACCCTTTGTCCTTAGCCGCCCCTCCCTACATTTCTTCCCGGTTTGAAATATCCCTTATATTCATTCTCTCTCAAATTTATTTTTATTTTATGATGATCCAATGTACTCGTAAATGATTATCATCCCACATAAAAGAAAATATTGTCGAAAATCTGACAATGGTTCGAGACAGTGGTTCGGTTGGTATACCTGGCCACTCTCGCCGATGTTAGTTGGCTTCAAGATGGCGACAGGTGAGCAGACGCCTCAGCTATATAGAGCTGAAAAGCAATTTTTACGATAAAAAACCGCGTAGGACGCTTTTTAACCGTTGTCACCATTTTTCAGAACAGCCCACGAAGCTCAAGTGCACGTACTGTACCGACGATGTGTACGGGATCGCGATAAAATGCGTCGAATGTGTGGACTTCGACCTCTGCCTCCAGGTAAGTCGCGCATGTGCAAACCGAAACCGTTACCCGCCCAGTTCTGAGTCTCAACCGGCAATCTTTATTTTTCTGATTTATTCCTTCCTCATAGCTTTGTTTATGTGTTACAGTAATAAAAACGCATTTTGCCTATTTACTCAGTGTTTTTTTGATAATCAAAAATATGTATGTATCTAAACCTCCAAACGAAAACACTGAATATAAACAAAGAGAACGCTTAGTGTTGGTTTATAAACAATTGGTTTATACGAAAAGAAAATTTTAATTTCTTATTGTATAATTAAATAGTTTATTTCAATAGTGATAAACTTGAAGTAAATATAATCAATAAATATAATGTGCATATTTGAATAACAATCCAGACGAAAAATCTGCAAATTGATATAGTTGTACTACTGTAACTTTTGAAACCATATTTATTATTATAAATCTTTAATTCCACCAAATAGAATTGTTGGCTCAACAGCATAACTCTCAATGTCCACATGTGCAACCAGCATGAGTCATTTGAGTAGTTGGTGTAATAAAAACTATGACAAACCTATGATATATAAATTGTGTACACACTAAGCAAATCTCAACCAATGAAAGAACCAACTGTTTCATTGGCCATGATTTGCTTACTGAGTATGTGAAGCGAATCAGAGCCAACGAAACGGTTGCCTTGGTCACTGTTCAGACTGCTAGTGATACCATCAAAAGATTTGACAGGTTACCTAAAGACCAAGTGCATACTTGGTACTACGAAATTATTCATTCAGCTCGATCGTTCGATGGTTCATTTCTTCTTCGATAAACACTGGAATATGGAGTAAAATAATGAGATTGAACTAAAACTGATCGAATTTTATCCGAAGGACGGGAATGTTTATGGGACCCTATGAACTGTGAATAAATGAACAAATTGAAAAGATTAGGTGTTTGGAGGAAAAAAGTGTGCTCGTAGAAGGTAGAGTAAACAAAATGGAATCTTTATTGACATCTTTTTGCCGTGTGCAAAAGCTATTGCCATTGGGTGTATGCACACTTTCTTTAGATCAATTATTCATTCAGGTTGTTGTACCACATAACAAAGATATAGTGCTCTTCTTTTGAGCTGCGGGATATTTCGCTCAGAGGTAGAGCAGTCTTATACAGGATAAAGCGTATAACCAAATGAATGTTCCACTTTAAAAGGTTCAGTTCCTGGCTTACAGATTTATTGCTCAGCATATAGTCATTACATGGGGGAAGGAATGTTGTCTGCGTCATAGATCTTGTTGGTGGTGTATCGTTGGAGGCCCTTCTTCTGATTATGTACACCTTGAACCCAACCTCCCAGCTTATGTCACTGATCTCAATGCTCAAAATGGAGAATTATATTGATCTCGGAAACATTAAATACTACTGACTCACTTTTTCTCCATCTGACTAATACCCTGACTCAGCCAAGATCTTGTGAACCTTGGATGGCTAAACATCATCCCGTGAGCCTTTGATGAAGCAGTTGTTAATGAAGGCGTAGATCCTATCACTAGCTGGCTAGATCTGTAGTGCAGTGCAGTAATAACAATATTTGTTAAAATAAGCACTGATACATCATCTTATCACTGTGCGCAAGAGCTATTGTCATTTAATGTTACTCTATATTAAATACAACCAGGTCAATTAACAATTATGACTTTTCAACATACGTACATAAAATGATAAAATATTCAATCTTATCTACTTTTATAAAGTAGAGTAATGGAGTATTTGATAAGTTCATAATTCATATACATGAATTTGTAATGTTAGTAATAATATTCAACCACACAAAACATCGAATACACTATAACACAGATTTATTATTATTAAATTATTTATTTAAATTATTATTTAAAAACTGTGAGTAGAACCATCGTTTGCAAAAAGTGAATCTACGTACTCCTCACCCCAACTTCATCATTTCTACATTGTAATATACACATAAAATTATTTTTATTTACTCCAAACTCAACCACAATGTGTGGATCCATTGTCATAGATAGCTACTTTGGTTGAGATAAAAATTTTGTTGTTTTACAAGATAAAAACTTCATAATGGAATATTTAAGTTTAATTTAGGTCAAATTTGTCTAGATTAGATCTATATTTGTATTTTGAATCCATTGTTTAACTTTTGTTTCAGTGTTTTTCTGCAGGAGCAGAAATAGGCCCCCATAAAAATGATCACCCATATAAGTTTATAGATTCAGGTACAACAAATATTAACCATGGAAAGAAAAAATGGTCTTCGCGAGAGCATCTTGAGCTTCTGTATCAAATTCAGTGTTTTGGTTTTGGAAACTGGGAGGAAATATTACCGTTCATCAAGCCTAGAACAGCAGAAGGTAAAATATAATTTTCAAATAAATTAATTAATCCAACTTTATCAATGATTTTTTTCAGAGGCACATGACGAGTACATTGCAAAGTTTGTTGATGGTAGCCTTGGCAGGGCGTTGTGGCCGGCAGCGTATGAAAAACGGGCTCAGCTTCCTGATCTTTACAAAGATGACCCACCACCACCAACCCACCAAGTCAATTTTCCACCTATAGATGTAACGCCAGAAGAAGCAGCACTTTTAGGATACATGCCGAACAGAGATGATTTTGATCAGGTAATACATCAAACGGCAAGATTAAAGAATTTCAGGAAAATAATACGCTTTATTTTCTATATATAGGAATATGATAACGAAGAAGCGGAGAGTTTACTATCATCCTTATATTTACTTAATAATACAAGTGAGGATGATGAATTATATATATGTAAGTTGTTTTTTTTGTTTTTTTTAATGAATATCAAGCTAAATATGGTGGCTTTTTAACGGTTTAATTTTTTCAGCTCTTAAATTGGCACAAGTAGATATGTACATAGACAAATTAAGAGAAAGATCAAGAAGAAAAAAAATTTGTAGGGATTACCAATTAATTAAAAAGTTCTTCACTGCACAAAAAGAGCGGTTAAAACTTACAAAAATCCCTGAACAGTAAGTGATTATCAGTTAAACTTTGTTGACAATTAAAATTCATCCAAATTGATCATTTATTTTCAGAGAATTTGATGAAAAGTATAGATGGATGTGCCAGCTACAAACAGCAAAAGAACATGACTGTCTCCTTAAAAATCTCCTTCGCCAAAAAGAACTTCAACACAGATTATCCGAACTAATTAAATATAGAAAAAACGGTTTAACAAAGATCGAAGAGCTTCCTCACTTCGAGCAGGAACTCCAAGCTAAAAAGGGCGCATCTGTAAGCATTTAACCAGTCCATGTTGTATTCGTTTTAAATGTATCATAGTATCAGTGTATTTTTGTCTAGGGCAGTTCTATGCAGCATTATCTGACAGCAACATTGAAAAAAAAAAAGTCAGTATTTTTCTTAGAGGTTCAAATGCAATATAAGTTCACCATCAAATTGTGCTAATATAGGATTTGTTTTCAGAGAAAAAAGCGAAGTAAAAGAATCCTGTTCAACAGAAAAAAATTACACCTCCCACACCGTCAACCATGGATCATTGCAAGGGCAAGAGCGGCGGCAGATTCTAGGAGACTTTCACCCTCTTCTTTCTGAACCTTCGAAGCATCTCCTCAATAAGACTGAGGCTCAGGTAATTTTATTTTATTTTTATTAACTCGTTATTTGACTTTTGAAATAAATATACTGTGATTACTTCATACTTTTCTAATGAACTATTTATTGATCTTACCTCTCAAAAACAGATGTATTTAAGATTTTTTCTTCTATTCTGACACATTAAGTACCGATACAACAGGTTTTTTTTCTTTTTCCTTTCCCGTATGGTAAATATTATATTATTTTTAATGAGTTCACAGATCTTTCAATGTGGATGATGAAAATGTGGGTGATCCTTGAAACTTTAGGAAGTATTTCTTCACTCAAAATGTCACAAAAAAGTGTCTTTTAATCCATTTTGGAGTCTCATTAATAAGGGTGATTTTTTTGGGGGAGGGGGTTTCCTCTCTTTTCCCTGGTAATGCTTTAGTTTCTTCATAAAAATGGTCTTCTAAATCATGGCCCTACAACATATTTGAACACACCAATAAAAAACTGATTAAATTTCCATTAAGAAAACTTGCCCTTTACAATTATTTATGTTAAGAATAAAATGGAAGAACAACCTGATTTAATATGTTGAATGCAGAAGCCGGATAGCTGTCAACAATCTGTGGCTGCAACTTTTTTTTTCATAAATACCCTTCATATTTACTATAAAATTCAGTAAAAATAATTTTTTTCTCTTAATCATTTGTATAAATTAGCCTTTTCAAGTGGGTCTCATATGAGATACACAACTCATACAGCAGCTAGCTAGTTTCCAATTGTTGCAAAACCTCCCCCCCCTCTCTCTCTCTCTCTCTCTCTCTCTCTCTCTCTCTCTCTCTCCCTCTCTCTCTTTCTTTCTTTCTTTCTTTCTCTTTCACTCACTTTCCTAATTTTCTTTTATAGTGCAGCACCTTCAACAATTAGTTGTTTTTTCATTACTCAGGGAAATAAGGTTGAAATTTTATTCCTAAAAAATAATAATTTACAATAAATACATTTGAAATATTTTCATTGAGGAAATTATTATACACAATAAATTTGTACCATTTAAAAACTATTAATTTTAATTATTTACCACAATAAATTTGTACCATTTAAAAACTATTAATTTAAATTATTTACAAGCCATTTATATAAAATGTATTGTTTAACTGAAAACTGTTTTTAATTATTTGCAAAAAATTAATCTATGTATTGTAGAATGGTACTGTTTGAAACACTGTGGGCATAGTCTAATTTTTTCTGTTACCAGTGCTGCAACTTGGGTAGTAGAAGCATTTTCTTACTTTGCCTTTCTGTTCCTTTTTGCTATTGACACAAAGGATTTTCCTTTTCATCCTCCAGATGTTGAAGGTAGGGGAGTAGGACAACGGCCAGTAAGAGGGCGAAGGATTCTTTGGACAGAGTGGTTAGGATATTCCCTAAACACCAGGGACTCTATCACATCCAGTCAGACATCATTTAGATTATTCTTGTCCAGTTAGGAATATCTATTGAACAAGAAGAAGCTATTTATGAATAGTATCTGGAAGAGGTGAAAGTCCAGCTTTTTGTACCATTTCAGCGACTTGTACCTTCTTCATTTGCCTGCTTTTCCTTGTAAGACTCCATTTTCAAAAAATAACAAACTAATTTCTAAAAATTTAGAAAACCCTGAAAAATGTAACTTATTTTTATATTTACTATTTTTGATTGTTATAATAACTAATTTATGTAAAACTTAAATTACTCACAAATAAAATTAAGAGAACATGTTAAACTTTTGGGGGGGTTTCTTTACAAAACCTAAAAATCACAAAATATTTTAACATTTAAGATTCCATCCATCAATTCTGTAAGCCTATTTTATCAAATCAATGTTTGATCCATCAAACCTTTGATAAGTTGAAGAAAAAAAACCTTTACAGCCAATTTTCTCATCATCATTAGCGTTATACCAGAACGGCGTACAATATTTGAAAGTTGGTTTAACATTAAACCTAAAAACTGCTTCACCACATCACCCAAAAATTGCCCTTATTACTTGCTGAGAATGAGACAGGGGCCAAAAAAACCTTTTACAAGTATTTTGTTGCATTTTAGGCGTAAAAACACCCCTTGAAATATGGCTCATTATTTGTGAATATATTTATATTTTATGTTATATAATACACCACATTTTATGTTCCTTCAGAATGCAAAACTCCCTCCCACCCATATTAATCCATTTATTTTATTTTATTTATTTTATTTTTTTTTTTTTAATAATTTCAATAACTTGAGAACAGTTGGTCCTAATTAAAAATTGTTTGCACCGTTGAATTCAGCGTCAAAAAAGGTAAATTTATGAGTATCTTGCTATTTGAAATAGTTATTCTTTTATTTGCAACCTCCTATTGTGGAAAAAAGGTAGTTAGGCTTAACAAGTTTTTGCTCATGAAAACTAAACAAAAATAAAAGTATAAGTGTCCCAGGGGTGTTTGAAAAAATGCTCCAATAACAAAAATATAAGGGAGAACTGAAGTTAAACTCACCCTGTACTTACATGCATGACAAAATATATTTCATACATACCTCTATATTCACATATCATAGATAGATAATTTCACTATATCATTTCTGCATGTAAGTTTTACACATACATAAAAATACATATTGCTTCCAGGTAATAGTATATAAATTTTAATAAAAATTACTACGTACATTGATACATTCTAACTGAAGTATTCTCATAAGTAATTTGCAAAGTATACAATAAATAATAAACAATGTAAACTTGCGCATTTGCATGCCTACTAACCATAGGCACTAAGGCTTTAATATATGTGACGGTGATTATCCTTGTGTTATCTGCCATTTCATTTCTGCAGTTTTTAGGGGTTTTCTCTTTCTATTTTTTGTTTTTCTAAGCATAAATCAATGATGTCAAATTTATTGTTCTTGATAAGCTGTAAATTAACTACATGAATTACTCCATTATGATATTATTTGTTCCAGCTATGTTCGTCTTTAGAGCTTACCCCATCTCAATTTGTATCAATGAAAACATTGTTTCTAGCGGTTAGTAGATCAAAGCCTAGCACAAAATTATTTCCTTAAAAAAGATTTACAATTTTTAAATTTATTTCACAAACAATTTGGTGTTTCTTTGCAGAATCCACACGAAATAGCAGATACCACACCTGAGAAACAAATCCAGCAGCACGTTAAGTCCAGTGGATGGTTTCTCGCAACGTGAATTAGTCGCCATCGTTGTCATCTCTTATTTAAATGTTTATTGGTTTCGTCTAACCTAATATGTAATTATAAAACATACAGTTGTTGCACAAGAGGTGTTAGTCCAATTGGTTTTAAAATGTTAAGGTTTGATTAACGCACTTTTATGTTTTTTGTTTTTAAATCTATCCTCATCGATGTAACCAGTAGTGATTTAGAGTAAAAATCTGAATCTTAATATTTCTGTGGTCTGCCATCATTAGCTAGAGCCTTGTTTATAGGTTATTTGGTCAAAACCAAAGACTTTGCCTTAAAATTGACTTTCTTCGGTTAGAGAACAGAAAATTATTCGAATTACTATGAGTATATACCATTGTTTATACTATATTTATTCTTTAGCTGTTCTGTTTAAGCTACCTCGACTCAGTTGAAAATGTGTAGTCAAATTTTGTTTCACTAGGCTTCCTTTATGAAAACAGATATTAATGAAGGATATATTCATTCCAGAATATCCTAAGCTTTAAAATGTGATAAAAGGTTTGATATATTTTCATGTTTTCCTGTACAGTTTTATTTTTAATTTGATGATGTTTTTAATTGACATAATGTTTTCCTCCACCTCATAGTCAGAGGTCAAACATAAATGCAATGTGTGTATTGTATAAGCATTACCTGCAAAGTAAAGTTGTGTAGAGTCAAAATTTATTCAATGTTATTTGTGTCATGACTGTACTTTCACATACGTCCTCATAAAATACAAAAGGATTATGCATTGTTTTTTAGTCTCAATTTTGTTCTGCCCTACGATCTAAAATGTGTCTAGTAACCGAAATGGAAAAGTTCTTTTTTTCAGTAAGTTGCTTTTTCTGAAGTGCTAAACGATAATTAAACTTTATGACTCAAATGAAAGAACATTTGTACATAAGCATTTATTAGTGTTTGTATTTAAAAAAAAAGTGCTTGTAAAGAAGACAATACAATTCCTTTGTTTTAGGTTAAACCTTTCACTCCAATTTCATATATGTATTCAATTTACTTAATCTTTTTATGTAAGATTTTGGTTGAAATGAAAAACTTAGTATACAATGTGTCGAGTGGGATTCGAACCCATGACCTTAACGTCTAAATACGCCGCTGCTCTAAACACTTGAGCTATCGTGACTTCGATCCACTCAGACACCAACTCCCCATCTCAACCTACAGCCTTTCAAATTTTATCTCTTTTTGCCTTTTTCAAATGTCGTGTAATCAGGATTCGTATTACTTATTAAATCCATTACATTTAGTGAGTGGTCTATTGACCAAATTACTTCTTTCAATTACATAATCTTTTTGGTTTAGGTTTTGGTTGAAATGAAAAAGTTAGTGTCACGAGCGGGTTTCATTCCTGTGCCGTATTAATATATTCAAGCAAGCTGGGTATTTTTTCTAAGATTTCTTTGTTGGTAGATGTACCTGTAATCGGTCATTACAGATCTGTGCTGGCACATTGTTTCATCTAAACTGTGTTTGACTAGGTATTTCAATAATGACATCATTGATAGATTACACAATGAGGATGAAATATATACCATCCATATCGTCTTCGAATAAAAAGCAACCGCTCAAGAGAGATTTACCCATAACTTAGAGTACCAAGACGACCCAGGAAAAAGAATGGACCTGAGAGTCTCGACACGACACGCAAGAATGGCACAATTACACAGAAGACAAACACTTTGAGCCCTGAAGATGATCTCAATAAAGATCGAAACGTTGGCACGATAAAGAAAATGTTTTTCTGAAACCTACATCACACCAGACCGCATCTCACGATTTCTAAATAAATATCGATTAACGGTCACTAATCACCACACACACCTGACATTAAATTAAAACTTCATTTCTGCGAATTTTTATACATTGATATAATTGATTACATTTTTAAAACTTTCCAGGTTTAACAGTGATAAATACAATATGATTCGTTTTCAAATCGGATCATATTTTTAAGTAAAATGACGACTCGGGTCAAATCGTTTGGAGTTCTGATTCTGGATGCTATATAAATAGAAAATAATGTATTTAAGAGTGTGAATAGGTTTGGATTGAGACTGATCCCATTGGACGCTGAAATGACCTTTTGATTGCCCCTGGAGCTCAGTGGCTGGACGGATGTGTTTAAAGAATCCGACCCGGGACTAACAATACCCGAGGTGGGTGATTCTAGAGGCCTGTCAGTAATTTATTGCAAAATTTCTCAACAGTTGGAATTGCCGGCGAGCTGCGAGAAACGATAGGCTCAACTCCGTACATGTATGTATGTACATGCAAGTGCGGATATGAGCTTAAATCAATCCGTAATTACTGTTTATTGCCAAATTTTCCACATGCAAAAATGGTATAAAAGTGCAAGAAAATGGTTATTTACGTGAATAAAAAAGATCAGAGATTTCATAATGAGAAAAGTCATTTTCTATGCATATTTGTGCAATGGTGTCTGCAATTTACGGTGTTTTTTAAATTACGAGAGGTCCGCGTAGGTGCACAGGAACTACAGAGCGTGGGGGTGACAAGATGTGAGGTCATTGCTGATTTAGAAAAAAAAATAGACGATCCATGAAATGCAATATTTTTATAAAGTGCAAATCCGGCTTTGTAACAGCAAAAAGTTTAGCTATCACACTTAAGGATATGTGTGGTGATTAGTGACCGTTAATCGATATTTATTTAGAAATCGTGAGATGCGGTCTGGTGTGATGTAGGTTTCAGAAAAACATTTTCTTTGTCGTGCCAACGTTTCGATCTTTATTGAGATCATCTTCAGGGCTCAAAGTGTTTGTCTTCTGTGTAATTATGCCATTCTTGCGTGTCGTGTCGAGAGTGCCATCTTTGATCTCGACACGACACGCAAGAATGGCACAATTACACAGAAGACAAACACTTTGAGCCCTGAAGATGATCTCAATAAAGATCGAAACGTTGGCACGATAAAGAAAATGTAGTATCGTTTCTCGCAAGAATTTAGTTTAGTTACGTCTATCTCTTGAATGGATTATTTCACTCACCCAAGCCTAATTTTAGAGCACTTTTACGTTTTACTACAGTTTTTATCCGTTATCGTAAAACCCAGCTGCATTCTCGGACAGACTAGACCAGTCTGCGAATAAACCAGGTTTTGACGGGGTTTCGTGTTTTGATAAAATGTAGGAATTGTCTTATTTCAATGGGTAATCCAACCATCCTGGTCATATTTCTACTTTAATATTTATTATGCTGAAACCTCACATTTAGAACCTTTAACGCAAACTAGAGCAAAAGAAGTTAAGGGTAACGTTAAAAGGAATCTTTAAGACTACCTACGACCAATATTGGTAAGACAACTAACAACGTAAGGCTTCTTATTAGATCCCAAACCTTTGTCAAGGACTGCCTTGTATATATCCTTCAGCTTTTTCTCTCCCAAAGAAGTAAGAATCTTAACATATACAGCCGATCTTTCTTCTTCTGCATTGGCTTGTTTCTGCCAAAGTGCCGAATCTGCACATATGCTTCCGGAGTCTGGTGTGTCCAGTCAGTAATCCAATTCTAGTCCTCACTCGTCCTAGTTTAGTAGTTCTGCCGTTAATTTCTGCCATGCTCCTTTAATGAACTTTTGCATGGAATACAATCCCATTTAACCAAGGACTTTTTTAACCCAGACACTACGTTTACCTACTTTCGTTTTTAGCAGTTGAATCAGTAGTTGTCCTCATCGAACTTTCTTTGGTCAATTATCAGTCTCGTTTGCCCCTCTGACCTATGTGCGTGCCTTGGTGCCTGCAGGAAATTCCAAATTGGATTTTACCATGTTCAGGTAGTTGCTTTTAATCCCACCTAGCTATCCAAGTAGAGGATTTTTTTGCAATACCCAGCCTTTTAATCTCCTTGGTTCAGTGTTCAATAGTAAGTCTCCACTTGGAAGACAGTGGCATATTTCACAAGGCTTGTATGAATTCTAATCGTAGGTTTATTTTCGTAAATACCACTTCCAGACCCATCTGACCCAGGTCTTAGAACCATACCAGATAGAGTCGGCATTAACGGGAATCCCTTTCTCCCTCTGTTCTATCAGTTATTTCAGTTTAAAATATACAATCTGAATAAGACGGGATCATGTTGTCAACAGTCTTCCCCAGACCCGTGCCCGCCTGAAGTTCCAAACGAAGCTTTAATTGTTCGGTTTTAAAGCATGTCCTTGCCTGTGAATTGTGGCCCTAATATTTCCCGGGATGAAGATATTTAATGGTGGTAGATTCACGAGGATTTCCAGGGCTGCAGTGAGTGTCGTTCTCATTGCTCCCGTCCTCAGACACGCTTGTCTTGGAGCAGTACAAAGGATCCTGGCCGCCCTCAACTGTAATGTTTTTGGCCACTAAACTAATCGGCACAGGATTTAGGACTCTTTGGACTTAGTCCCCAGCTTATCCCACAAAGGCGTTTACACCTACCAGTTCATTTGGCAATTTGATTTGCCGCAAAAAGATGGTAGATTTCCGAACTTTCCTTGGCCAATTTATCGGCCCTGTATACCCCGGTTACCCAACAAGAGTAATTTTATTATTTGTAGTTATTTATCATCTTGGTCTCTCTATCCTCGCCAATTTTTGTTAGACAGACCAAGTTGTTAGAGAATTATCGAACAACGGAAACTACTGGTTCATCACCCCGAAGACCACAGGAGGAAATCTTATAATTTAAGGGTAATTGTTGTCCCCTATGTCCGGCAGGGTGTTGATACAATCCCAAACGATCTAGACTTCACTACCGATGAGGTAGTTGCCTGCCTGGCTGTCCGAATAGGCTATTCGTTTGTTGGTAATTGAGCCTTTTCGTCTTGGCACATTGTTCAAATAGCCTGAACGGCCTGAAGTGGCACAAGGCTACAGCATAAGTCTCAAATTGAATTTTCTATGCTTAAAAGTGGCGAGCATTAATTCGGTCTGTACACCCACCACTGAAGATGGCGAGGAGCCGAAACGCCTCTAGCAAACCAAAACAGCGGGAAATGGTATTGAATGATCGGAAGAGATCGAACCACTGATTATCACCCCGCAGAACCACAAAGGGCATCACACCATTTAAGATTCTCGTTGATCCCTTTCCTATTTCTCTAATCCTTGTAATACAGACACTAAATCTACTATAAAAATATTTTTGTTCTGTTTACATGAAACGTAGCCTTTCCTTGATATATTGATGCAAAACTAAAAGATAATGTCATAAAGCGGGTTTTTCGTTTCTAGTTAGAATATCTCGTCTTATCCTTGTATCTTGACAGCGTGCGATGTAACATCATGACAACTATCATTTCTCCGAACTTCCAACGGCAACTAGGACGAGAAATTTCACGCTTACTTTGACTTTTTGTAACTTAGGATCTAACTAGGATTTATTCTCTCATCCTTCTGAGCACCTCACTTAGAAGTACTTTGTAAATTCACTATCAGGACCTTTCTTGAACCTTTTAAACGTGCAGCAAAAAAAGCAACGTATATTTTTTTAATTGAAGTTCTATGCTAAAATCTTGTAAAAAACTAGGATTTTGTTTGTTTTGCCAAATTTCTTCAGTGATTTCTTCGTGGGGTCTGCTCGAAGATCATGTTTGTCTGCATTGTAAATGTCGAAATGCCGAAACGCGTCTGACAGACCAATCCATGCAAATAGCAGACCAAAATAATCTGAAATGACCAAGCTATAAATATTTACGTTAATGCTTGGACTATTGACACTAAGCGATAATATCAGAACATCCAGCC